ATTGAGTCAGTCTCTGGTACTTAACGTTATCTCTTATAAGTTCTGGCAAATAGAAGAAAGTGAGAAAATTAAATACATTTAATAAAAAAAGTAAAAAAAATGTATTTATCCAATAAATTAATAATTAATAATTAAATTTGAAAGATGGATGAAAATTGACTGTTAAAAATGTCTATAGCGGTATTTCCCTATCGTATGTCGTGACTTGGAGATATGTCCAGACCTGGTCCTACATGGAGCTGCTTCGGAGCTGCTTCGGAGCTGCTTCGGAGCTGCCTCGGAGCTACTTCGGAGCTACTTGGAGCTACTTGGAGCTATTTCGAAACTATTTCGAAACTTGGAGCTTGTTTGGAGAAGCTACATAACCTGGAGCTTCGAAGCTACGTACCTCGGAGCCTAGAGCTCGCACTTGGAACTTGGAGAAACTACGCTATTTGGAGCTTAGAATTGGAGAAACTACGTAACTGGAAGCTTCTTGGAGAAACTACGTAACTCGGACTTGGAGCCACTACAGGTTTAGACATAAAAAGAACCTCAGTAACAGGAATAGTACATCTACATGCCAGTTTTGAAATATTACAAACTTATGCATAAATGGGACAAATATTAAAGTTACATCGTCTGAACAGAATATAAAATATTTATAGGGCCAAAATAAGTTATAACAATTAGTTTTACGTCATCTGAACAAAATATGAACTATTTATATTTCCATTTAAACTGTATTTCCAGACTGACTTGTAATTCAATTATTTAGTTGACTCCCCGGGTATATATCAAAGAAAGCTTACAAATAATATTAGGTAGAGTAGCTATAATCTATACAAAATAAAATGAAACAATAATAATAATAATAATAATAATAATAATAATAATAATAACCGGAACTCGTCAGAATTTTTCCAACTAAATCCAGCAAAGTGCTAAAATATAAAATAAAAAAACATTATCTGACAATTATCCCAACGGTAACACACAATAAGCACATATACAAGTATTAGAAATTAAAAAAAATCGACTTCAAAAACGTGCAGATGCCGTCACCACATCTTAACCAAATTTATATGGGACCACCCCTGAGGTACCCCTTTACTAACAAAAAAAGAATCATATGAATCGGACAAGGTGGTAAAGCATTATCGCTAAACATACATAAAAAATTAAGAGTGAGGATTTTCTCATGGACTCAATTATTAGATGTTGACCAAATTTATATGGGACCACCCCTGAAGTAGCCCCTTTCTAACAAAAAAAGAATTATTGAAATCGGACACCGTGTTAAAGAATTATCGCTGAACATACATAAAAAAAAAAAAATATCGCGACGAATTGATAACCTCCTCCTTTTTTGAAGTCGGTTAAAAAGACAAGATAATTACGGAAATCTCATAATAACCACAACTAGTAGATTATCGGCATACACTACATTGAAGTTTTGAACTCGATAAACCAAAAGGCCGATTATATCAATACCAGTCGGTTTTATCTCAGCGTGAATGCCGAAACAAAAGCTAGGCCACGTGCGCAAACCGTACTTTGCAAATCTCGAGAAGCGAGCGGTTGTCGTTTAAATTATGTTACGAGGGGTTATGGAGAAAAATAAATTTGAAATTTTAAATTAATTTCACGTAACAGAGACCTGGCTTGTAGAGAAATATACAAGCTGCAAAGCTTTTTTTTAGAAGCTGGGTAGGACGAAGAACTTTTGTCACACACTACGTCAACGACCTTTTTTTTAGAAGTTAGTTCGGTAAAAGGACGATTTTTTTATTATACAGTCGTCAACCTTTTTTTATGAGGATCTTTTGTATACCGGATCCCCGTAGCACATTGTCCTTTATTCACTTTTCAGAAAGGTGGCAACCCTAATGCTGGGTGACATTGCACTTCTTCTTTTATTCGTACGATTACCTAAAACAGCCGCAGATTATTGCTGGATGTAGGGTTACATTGGGGAAGAAACAATAACTGCGTATTTGGTAAGATCTTGGGGAAAGCCAAAAAGAAATATTGCGTCACTAGGAAAGAACTTTAAGCTATTGCCAATGGCCTTGGACACTTCCATACTCACCTTTTTAATAAAAGTTTTATCATTAGAAGTGACTATAGCGCCTTGCAGAGGCTGATGAATTTCTCCTTAGTACTGTAAAAGGATAGAATTTCGAGAAGAGCCGGTTAAAGAAGTTAGTCTACAGGCAACCACTATCAAGCCAGAAGGTGACAAAGACGAAATTATCTTTAAAAGCCTAAGAAAGAGCCAAAAGAAAGAAAAATAAGACAATGACTTAAAGGTTTTCTGAGAATGGCTCAAAAATGGAGTCAGATCTACTTGGCAAAAGATAGCCAAATGTAGTGGAAATATAAAAAGTTATTGGACTCATGTATTTTCACGATGGCCTATTGCATCAGAAATGGGAGAGCCTCGTTGAAGTACATATAGTTCGTTTATTGGTATTGACGAAAGCACATGTTAGAGGTATGTTGGAGGAACTTCATAACAGCCGCAGATTACAGCAGGGTGTTGGGTAATAATATATTCGCCTTAAAATAATTTTTTTCTTGTAGAAAATACGTAATTTGTATTGGACTCATCAGTTTGTATGGTTTTCATTGTCATTAATATTTAAATTCTGGTTTTAATAAGATCTTGCTTTATTCTTTAAATATGAATACTTATTCCTACATTGTTTAAAATTATCTACGGACAATGTTTGACATTCGGATGCTTTTAATATGTCTATTTTCTTTTCTACAAAACTTTAGATGCTACATTAGTTTGATGTACGATTTTAAAAGGAACAGTCAATATTAAAATAAATAAAAAATATACAATATATTGTAATACCGTTTTTAATTCATCAAGCTCATTTTGTTGTTCTGTTATTAAATTTATTTTTGTAAGTGCCTTAATTATGTCTACATTTCTCTATTTTAGAAATAATAGTCAAACTACCTTCCCAGATCATCGAGTAGAATTTAGTTCTTTAAATTTGACAGAGGATTGGCCAGTAGACGAGACTGAAATATTTTTATTGATACATAAAAAAAAGAATATTAATCTGCCAGAATCGTAAAAAATGTTTAATTTCAGTTCCCCAGAAACTGTGTCAATGATTATTAGGTTAAGATTGTGTGCGGTACAATGTATATAAGCTGCATTAGGCTCAATATATTTTATACGTTTTTGGATACCACTTACCACGTTGTCAGGGTCCTATTACTATTTTCTGCATTTTTTAATGTATAATTCTAATACCTTTAATAAATTTAACATTTCAGATGTTAGCCCTATTGCACGCTAACCTATCACCTTGGCGAATTCAATGAATCTCCGACTAATTCTAGTCTCCATAGGCTTATTATTCTCATTCTTTTCTATTTCGATGAATCGAGTAACTTAGTTGTATCCTTGTTTGTATGCATGATGATTGCAAGGCTATGATTTATTTTTGACTTAGATATTTAACATTCTGTTTCGGTATATTCACCACTTCAAGAAGATTTATTTGAGTTAAAAAGCTAACATTACAAGAATCATCCATTTTCATGACACACTATATGGCCCCTTGGGGTGCCAGGCCCCATGCAGCCGCGTTCCTTTAGTAGCGCTACGCCATTGAAATTAGTTAAGTAGTTAACAGATTCTATTGCTAAAATATACTTTCCAACCAATTTTAGTAAACTAAATTCGGGCTGAATTTAAGATTTCTAGTGTTATTACTAGTAACAGTATAAGCAAATAAGACAAAACACAAATATCTAAAGAGATACAACTAAAAGATTATTTAGATCTGGTATTTAGAAATTGCCTCCAATAAATATTAATGAATATAGGATTAAGGAGGATCATTTTGTATCTTAGACGAAGAAAAAATAACGAACAAGAGCACAAAAACTTCAAATAATAAATGAATAACTGCCAGGAGGGATTTTTTGTTCGACACCAGTTTTGTACTCTATTCATTTGAGACTGTCCCAATTTAAAGAGTGAATGGATCCAGAATTAGGGTTGTTTGGTCTCAGATTCGCTACAAATTAGACAATTTTTCAATCATCAAACGAACTTCAAAAAAGAAAACCTGAGGGATTTTCCGGGATAAAGAATTTTCACCAAAAAACAAATTAAAAAACTTTTAGTCCTAATGGAATTGAGTTTTTATCGTTTTATAGGACGATAGCAATATATGATTTGATATAGAAGTTGTATATTAATCCCACATCCAATCTGATTTAGATATCAAATTTTTTTTAAATATATACTTACTCGTCTATCTACTCATAAAGTATAAAAAAATAAGAAAAAGCTTTACCACTTTCATGAAAATTTAGAATATTCAGGATGAGTAAAAAACGATAAAAAATAAACAAATTCTATTGAAAAATTCCCAATAACTTAGAAAACTGACAACGCTTTTGCGTAAATAGAAATCAATTCTAAATGAAAATTTGTACGAAACTTTTCGAATAGTTTTTCTCAAAAAAGTTGCATTTCTCTTTCAGTTCTGTCTTTGAAATCTTGAAGATTCTCTGGATTGATCTACGTAAACTTTACTTTTCAAGAATCCTCTTAGGAAATAAGTTAACGCCAATAAGTTAGAGGAAAGTTTTTATTTAAAGTGTGAAAGTGTGCAACTTACACACTTTAAATATACATTTTTATTACCTATTATTATAAAGTTAACTTCCAAAATTGTATGTTTTATGTATCAAAAACCTTTGGAAATAGTCTAATAGGTCACATGTCACATAAGGTGATTATATCATAATGCAAGGTTGTTGAGAATAAGGTGGTCTTATTGGAAGTTCACCGCAACTTACTGATACCGTTTCTATGCAAATTACAAATCAATAACTATATTATTCACCTACACTAACAGTAAAAAACTGAAATAAAAAAATAATAAGTAAAAATGTAATATACCAACCAGAAACAAAAATATCCAACATTCACAGTTATCTTACTCTTCTCGACCAATTCTTACACGAATTAAAATAATTAGGTAGTTTTGGTGACTTGATGAACATGAAACAATTCGGATCCAGCCAATGGAGCGTCAGGAGTGACTCGCTCATCGCGAAAACACTTCCTCTATCAACGGTCACTCCTAAACCGATAGTTACAGAAGAAATCCTTTTAGAAGACGTCACCAACGGTACGTCTACTTTCCAGGAAAGATGCGTTGTCGATGAAAGTTCACTGACAGCTGCTCAACGAACTTTAAAATTGGCCAAACTGATTCAGCAACAGAGAGGGTATAAAGATAATAGGATACATAGGGTATGTAAATTTGTACTTATTTTACACGATTTCGTACAGTTTTATACGATTTTATACGATTTTGTACGATTTTATACGATTTTATACGATTTTATACGATTTTATACGATTTTATACGATTTTATACGATTTTATACGATTTTATACGATTTTATACGATTTTATACGATTTTATCCAATTTAATACGATTTTATACGATTTTATACGATTTTATACGATTTTATACGATTTTATACGATTTTATACGATTTTATACGATTTTATACGATTTTATACGATTTTATACGATTTTATAGGATTGTATAAGATTTTATACGATTTTATACGATTTTATATGATTTTATATGATTTTATACGATTTTATACGATTTTATACGATTTTATACGATTTTATACGATTTTATACGATTTTATACGATTTTATACGATTTTATACGATTTTATACGATTTTATACGATTTTATACGATTTTATACGATTTTATACGATTTTATACGATTTTATACGATTTTATACGATTTTATACGATTTTATACGATTTTATACGATTTTATACGATTTTATACGATTTTATACGATTTTATACGATTTTATACGATTTTATACGATTTTATACGATTTTATCCAATTTAATACGATTTTATACGATTTTATACGATTTTATACGAATTTATACGATTTTATACTATTTTATACGATTTTATACGATTTTATACAATTTTATACGATATTATACGATTTTATACGATTTTGTACGATTTTATACGATTTTATACGATTTTATACGATTTTATATGATTTTATACGATTTTATACGATTTTATACGATTTTATACGATTTTATACGATTTTATACGATTTTATACGATTTTATACGATTTTATACGATTTTATACGATTTTATACGATTTTATACGATTTTATACGATTTTATATGATTTTATACGATTTTATACGATTTTATACGATTTTATACGATTTTATACGATTTTATACGATTTTATACGATTTTATAAGATTGTATACAAGTTTATGCAATTTAATATGATTAAATACGATTCTATCTAAATTTATATAATTCTATACCATTTTATAAAATTTTATTCAAATAATTCAACTTATCGTCAATGTTTTGGTGTAGATAGTTTAACTTTTTAAACGTTGTTAATTTTAAACTGCCCCTAAACCCAACTTAAATAAGAAAACGTTAACATTTTACATGAAAATTTATTTTGAAATATTTCATAAAAAATTATGTCGAAACATCATGGCCTACTAATGTAGTTCAACAAAAAGAAATCATTAATTACCTTTGAAGTAAAATGTATGTTGAGAAATTTATGCGAGAGGATTGACTAATTAAGTTGTCAAAATGTGAATTCTTTTAATTTGTTTTAAATTTAAATTGGTATATATTATTAGGTATCATGGCAGTATTTATACCCATATTACAAGCAAAAACATTTTTAAAATTACCAAATATACTTTGTAAATTATTTTGCTACTACTAAAAGTTGTCTATCAGACCAATAAATAATTTTTTCTACAATCACTATCCAAATTGGACTTTTTAAAGTTCAACTTTAACTACAAAGTTGACGTTTTCTGCGAATTGGCATAATAATTATCGCACAGTTGCGTCAAAATAACTAAGTAACTTTGGCACACGCTTGTCTATTTTCATTTGAATTAAATAAAAGGAAGCTTATCAGTATTTTAAATCAAAATGTAGGCTATTCTAAAATGTTTTAATTGACTTCCTAATTTTTAGGGTTCCGTACTCGAAGGGGGACCCTATTACTAAGCCTCGGCTGTCAGTAAGCTGTATCTCACGATCCGTAATAGGCATACAGTTGAAATTTTTACAGAATGTGCATTTCTATTACCACTATAACAACAACTAATAAAAATAAACATTAACTTAAAAATTGAAGGCGGCTCCTCTACTAAAAAAGTGTTTTTTTTTTTTGGCTTTTTTGCTCGTTCTAATAAAGTATTTAAAAAGTACCTACATAGTATAAAATCTTGTACGATAGAGCGGAACTCTTCATGCCCGAGTCCGACACGCACCTGGCCGATTCTATTAAATCATCCAACAGTATTTTCCGTAAATAATTAAATGTTAATCAAAAATAATTACCGACATATAAGTACTAAAACATTTTTTTTTCTTCGAAGAGTCAGCTTATGTCAAATGAACTTCCAATATTATAACGAAAGAAGGTAACCCATTTCTAATAAAATTAAATTATTTATTTTGATGTGATCGTAAAAAAAATCTTGTGTGTTACTCGAGCAGAAAATCCTTTGGCAGTTCCTACAGATTGCCAAAGGGCTACTTTCTGCTCTTTATTCACAAATTGCTTTAATTAATCTTAAAAACAAAAAATGGTAATACTTATGCCCAATTGATTTAGTTTAGCTTACACGTACACACAGAATGGGTTCACTTTTTAAATAATACAAACACTACACAAATTTGAAGGGATTTGATCTCTTCAATTTTCGAATTAGTTTCTGGTTATCAAACAGTTGGATGGCTTTAACGTTGAACATAGTGGTGTATCCTGGCTTCATTTTTGTCAGAAAATTTCCTAATATATTCTTTGACATTAAAGATTTCAAAGTTAAGTACCATGTGCATTTACGAGTACCTACATAGAATTTTATTCTGAAAAGTTCAAATTTATATTTCTTCCTTGTGTAGAGCCTCATTGCCAAATTTGTTGCAGGTGAGGATTTAATTATGTATTGTCACTAAAGATTTTCTACTGAGAAGTCAATTATATTTTTAGTAAACACAGTTTTTTCTTAATATTACCCTTCCATAGCAGTTTAACGTCCAGAATAATACAAAGGTAGTGTGCATTATTTCCCTTTTGTACTTTTAATTATTTCAACAAAATTGAATTTGTATGTGCATATGTAGAAGGGTTTAAATATATATTATTAAAATTCTGAGATCTGTTAATTTCTTGTTGGTAAAATAAACTTCATTCTCCAGTTTTTGATGCAATTTGGTTCGATATTTCTATCTACCTACAATATAAAAATTTATAAAAATATTATTTTTACCTATTTATTATTATTTGTAAACTTGACTTGTTTCATGTTTTTAGATAGCAGAGGTCGATAAATAATTCTATTAAAAAAAATGTACGTTTGAAAAATACCGTCGTGTTGAACTTGTTACTTAAATTTCTATCAGAACATCCGTTGCGGCATCTTAAATGTCCGTCACTATTCCCGCATCATAACTTTTTAGCCACCCGTTCACGTATGTGGGACTCACCGATCTGGCTAATGTATCCTTCTGCATGAGTTGGTGCCATAGTGTATGTGACACTCGCACAGTGGCCTAATCAACGTGACATCCATGTTTCATGATAATCCTCGTTCGTCGACTGATGGTAAACGAATTATTTATAACACCTCACACTCGGTTGGCTCATTTTACCTAGATCGGCCATATTTCATATGCGTCGCTATCATCTCATGTACTGGCCGCCGCTGTATTTTGCTACCTAATAATAAAGATGATGAATATTTTATCGAATTAAAACGTCTAGCTAACAAGGTGAAGCTATATAGATACAAAGTTACAAAGTGCGAAAGAACTGTAGGGTTAGTTGGGTAAACGATTTTTATAAAAAAATCTTCGAGGTCTGTTAAAATCTAAACTTAAATGTTTACCAAAGAATTTTTTTAGGTGGAGTTTTTTTGAAGGTTTGTGCATATGTGCTTGGCATAGCAAGAATAAGGTTGTGGAATTTATCGAAATATTAGATGTTTACAATTACCCAAGAAAACAGAAAAATTATTGAAATTTTGGGGCAATTGTAAACATCGTGTTTGTCGTTAATATGAGTCCTGTTTAACATTATAGGAGTATTTGTGAACATAGAACAATTTAGATGAGTTTTCGTTCTTTCAGAACTGTAATTTCGAGCACTGTTTACAATTACCCCAAGGATATTAAAATAAAATACTGGGTAAGAAATTAATTTATTCTACTCGTAAGTACAAAGCTTTAAAAAGGTAATTTCACTAAGATTTTTCGAAAATGTCTACTTTACCAGGAAACGAGTAAATCATTTTACGTCCCACAAATTTTGTATCGGGTTTAGGAAGCATAGCAGTCACATTATCAATTTTAATATAAGATACAATCATCTCGTTGATGTAGAAGTCAGAACAGGTTTCGTCTAATAACTTGAGCCCTATAATGGCAATTTCACCATCATCTTCATCCTTCTTTTGAACTACGCAAACATATTTATATTTACCTATTATTGGAGCGCTTGCCTATTCCAGAGAATTTTGCTAGGACAAATGTGTCTTCCTGCAAATTCTCCCACTTCACTTCTCCATACTCCACAGATTTCAAATCTTTTGAGAAATTTTTATTGATCGGTGGTAAATTTTCGTCATCTTCCTCAGATTCTTCGAATAAATGTATGTCTTCCTCACTTTCGATATCAGATGGAGTGAATTTTAAGGTTCTCTTTCCCTTTTGTTTTGTACCTTTACTTTTGCACTTTTTCATTTTTCGGGGCTTAGCCACATTTCCTTTAGCATTTTTCTTTTCCTCAGCTTCTTTCAGTTTCTTCAAAACTTCAGGAGTGGTTAAGACTTCTCCGTAAGTAGACTGTTTCAAACGTGGAACAACTTTTCTGGGAAGGGCACTGGTTATGTCTGACGCAGTATTATTACATGCTTCTTGCAACTTTTTAGTAAATAATTGAAGAATGCGGTTCGGAGAATGGTGTTGGGGCAGTTGGAAAACAACTTATAAAGTTGTTGGCTCCTTCCCTGTAGTCATCTCCGGTGGAGTCATCTTTGGGTATGGTGCAGGAATAGGACCGTTCTGCTCTATAACGGATGTTCCCGCAGTAGGTTCAACATGTTCATCAGAAGATTGTATCCCTAAGGATACAGATTTAATGCTCTCCTTGTACTTTTTGAGTTTTGTGGGCTCAAAGAACTCTTTAGAAAATAT